GTAGTAGTAAACGTCAATTATTTGTTATTAGTTAGTAGTTAGTAAGTTAGTAGTTGTAGTAGTAGTGAAGTAGTAAGTAGTAGTCAGTAAGTAGTGTAAGTAGTAAAGTAGTAGTAGGAGTAGTAGTAGTAAGTGTCCGTAGTATCGTAGTAGTAAGTGTAAAGTTAGTGTAGTGGTAGCAGTAGTGGGGTAGTAGTGGTAGTAGTGGTATAGTAGTAGTAGTGTAGTAGTAGTAGAAGAAGTAAAGTAGTAGTAGAAGTAGTCGTAAGTAGTAGGTAGTATTAGGTAGTAGTTAGGGAAAGTAGTAGGTATAGTAGTAGTAGTCGGTTGTAGTAGTAGTAGTAGTAGTAGTAGTAGTAGTAGTAGTAGTAGTAGTAGTAGTAGTAGTATTAGTAGTAGTAGTAGTAGTAGGTAGAAGGTAGTAGGTAGTACGTAGTACGTAGTAGGTCGTAGTAGTAGTAGTAGTAGTAGTAGTAGTAGTAGTAGTAGTAGTAGTAGTAGTAATAGTAGTGGTAGTAGTAGTGGTAATATTAGTAGTGGTAGTAGTAGTAGTAGTAGTAGTAGTAGTAAAAATAGATCTACAAGTTGTATTCGCATGATTACTTTTTGTTGTTATTAGTAGTGCTACGGTCGGCCGTAGTAGTAGTACTAGTATTAGCAAGTAGTAGCAGTGGTAGTAGTAGTAGTAGTAGTAGTAGGTAGTAGTAGTAGTAGTAGTGGTAGTAGTATAGTAGCAGTATAGTAGTAGTAGGAATCGTTGCCGTAGTCGTAGTAGTAGTAGTAGAAGTAGATGTTGCACTGGTAGTAGTAGTAGTAGTAGTAGTAGTAGTAGTAGTAGTGTGAACAGTAGTAGTAGCAGTCTTAGGTGTAGTAGTAGTAGTAGTAGTAGTAGTAAGTAGTAGTAATTCGTAGTAGTAAGTAGTAGTAGTAGTAGTAGTAGTCGTAGTAGTCGTAGTAGTCGTAGTACTAGTACTAGTCTAGTACTAGTACTAGTAAGCTATTCGTGGTAGTGGTATTAGTGGTAGTAGTCGTAGTCGTCGTCGTCGTAGTAGTAGTAGTAGTAGTAGTAGTAGTAGTAGTAGTAGTAGTAGTAGTCGTAGTAGTAGTAGTAGTAGTCGTAGTAGTAGTAGTAGTAGTAGAAGTAGTAGTAGTAGTAGTAGTGGTAGTAGTGGTCGTGGTAGTGGTATTGGTCGTAGAAAGAGTGGTAGTAGTAGTAGTAGTAGTAGTAGTAGTAGTAGTAGTAGTAGTAGTAGTAGTGGTGGTAGTAGTAGAAGTAGCAGTAGTAGTCGTCGTCGGCGTCGTCGTCGTAGTAGTCGTAACCGTAGATGTAGCCGTACTAGTAGTAGGAGTAGTAGTCGTGGTAGTAGTAGTAGCAGTAGTAGTAGTAGCAGTAGTAGTAGTAGTTGTAGTCTTATTCGTACTAGCAGTAGTAGTAGTAGTAGTAGTAGTAGTAGTAGTAGTAGTAGTAGGAGTAGTAGTAGTAATAGTAGTAGTAGTAGTGGTAGTGGTAGTAGTAGTCGTACTAATTGAAGATATCGTAGCAATAGTAGTAGTAGTCGTAGTAGTAGTAGTAGTAGTAGTAGTAGTAGTCGTAGTAGTAGTAGTAGTAGTAGTAGTCGTAGTATTAGTAGTAGTAGCGGTACTCGTAGTGGTAGTAGTACTTGTCGTCTTGTAGTAGTAGTAGTAGTAGTAGTAGTAGTAGTAGTAGTAGTACTAGTACTAGTACTAGTACTAGTACTAGTACTAGTAGTAGTAGAGAAAGAGGTTGTACTAGTAGAGTCGTGTATCTGTCGTCGTCGAGATAATCGTAGTAGTAGTAAAGCAGTAGTAGTAGGTAGCAGCATTCGTAGAAGTAGTAGTCGTAGAGTCGTAAAGCAGTAGGTCGCCAATCGTGGACGTAGTTAGTAGTAGTCGTAGTAGTGGTAGTAGTAGTAGTAAAGTAGTAAGTAGTACGGTAGTAGTAGTCGTAATTGGAAGTAGTAGTAGTAGTAGTAGTAGTAGTAGTAGTAAAGTATAGTAGTACTAGTATCACTAGTACTAGTACTAGTACTAGTAACTATACTAGTACAGTACTAGTAACTAGTACTAGTACTAGTACTAGTAAGTAGTATAGTTAGTATAGTAGTAGTAGTAAGTAGTAAGTAGTAAAGTAGTAGTAGTAGTAGTGGTGGTGGGGGTGGTGGTGGTGTGGTGGTAGTATAGTAGTAGTATTATAGTAGTAGTAGTAGTAGTAGAGGAGGAACGGGAGGCGAGGAAGACGAGGATCAAGATGAGGCGAAGAGGCGAGGAGGGGGAGGAGGTGAGGAGGCGAGAAGGAGGGGGGGAAGGGGGAAGGAGGAGGATGCGAAGATGAGGGGCAGGAAACGGATGCGGCGAGGAAGAAGATGATGAAGTTGAGGCGAGGAGGATGAGGAGGAGGATGAGGAGGAGGAGGAGGGGGGGGGGAGGAGGAGGAGGCGAGGAGGCGAGGAAGCGCGGCGGAGGAGGAGGAGGAGGCGAGGAGGCGAAGAGGAGGGGTAGGAGGAGGTGGAGGCGAGGAAGAAGAGGATGACGATGAGGCGAAGCGGCGAGGATGAGCAGGTTACGAGAAGGCGGGGAGGCGAGGCAGAGGAGGAGGAGGATAAGTAGGAGGAGCAAGAGGAGAAGGAGGAGGAGGAGGACGAGGAGGAGGAGGAGGAGGAGGGGAAGGAGGAGGAGGAGGAGGCGAGGAGGAGGAGGAGGAGGGGGAGGACAGGGGAGGGCGAGGAGGCCCCGAGAGGCCCTCCAGCTTCAGTGCGACGCCGTCGAGGAGGCGCTCGTGGACGTGAGGGGCCTGCTGCGGCCCTTGTGGCACCTGGGAGGGGAGGGGGAGGCCCCTGTGGCACCTGGGAGGGGAGGGGGAGGGCGATGATGGAGAAGAGAGGGGGAGTGATGATGAAGCGAGAAGCAGGAAGAGGACCAGGGGGCGGAGGGAGGAATGATGATGCTGATGGTGATGGTGATGGTGATGATGATGCTGATGCTGATGATGATGATGATGATGATGATGATGATGATGATGAGGATGAGGATGAGGATGAGGATGAGGATGAGGATGAGGATGATGCTGATGCTGATGATGATGCTGATACTGATGATGATGCTTGTGATGATGATGATGATGATGATGATGATGATGATGATGATGATGATGATGATGCTCATGATGATGATGATGAGGACGAGTATGATGATGATGATGCTGGTGGTGATGATGCTGATGCTGATGCTGATGATGATGATGAGGAGGAGGAGGATGATGATGATGATGATGATGGTGGTAACGACGATGATGATGACGATGATGCTGATGATGCTGATGATGATGATGATGATGATGATGATGATGATGATGATGATGATGATGATGATGATGATGATGATGATGACGATGCTGATGATGATGATGGTGGTGATTATGATGATGATGATGCTGATGATGCTGATGATGATGATGAGGAGGAGGAGGGGCGGAGGAGGAGGAGGAGGAGGAGGAGGAATCTGATATGCTGATGATGAGGAGAAGGAGGCGGAGAGGAGGAGAAGGAGGTGGGGGAGGAGGAGAGGAGGAAGGGAGGAGGAGGAGGAGGAGGAGGAGGAGGAGCGAGGAGGCGAGGACGAGGACGAGAAAAGAAGGAGGGCACGACGAGGATAGGAGCAGGAGGAGGAGGGGGAGGACGAGGAGGAATAAGATGCTGATGATGCTGATGATGAGAAGGAGGCGGAGGAGGAGGAGAAGGAGGTGGGGGAGGAGGAGGAGGAGGAAGGAGGAGGAGGAGGAGGAGGAGGGGGAAGAGAAGGAGGGCAAGGAAGGGGGGTGGAGGAGGGAGAAGGAGGGAGAAGAACAGGCGGGGGAGTAAAGACGCCCTCCCCTGTGGCACACAGGGGGTCAAGGGGAAGGGGGAGGTGGAGGGCAAGAGGGGAGGAGGAAGAGGAGGAGGAATGGGGGTGGGAGGGTTCCCTTCCCCCATCGCCCTCCCCGCCCCTTCCCCCATCGCCCTCCCGCCCGCCCCGCCCCCTCCGCCCCTCCTCCCCCGCCTTCCTCTTCCGCCCTCGTTTTTCCTCCTTCCCGCCCCCCCGTCCTCCTCCAGCCCGCCCGCCCTCTGAGGCTCTCCCCTTGCCCTCCTCCCCCTCTGCGGACCGCCCGGAGGTACGGCCACGTGCTGCGTGCGCCCGGGGTCAAGTGCGTCCCTCTCACCGAGCCGCAGCAGGCCGAGGCGGCCCAGGCCTCCCCCGCGGGAAGGAGGAGACGTCGCACCGCCGCAGCCCCCGATCCCTCCGAGGGACCCAGCAGAGCAGTTTCGACAACCCTTTCGAGAGATCGTCGATCTGATTCGGCGGCGAGCGAGGGGGGGAGGTGAGAATCCAGGCCTCCCAGATGGGGTCCGAGTAGATGGGGTCGGAGGATCGTGCCGCATCGCCGATGCATCGCCGATGCGGCTCAATGGGCAGCCCGATTTGCTTCACGTCGACGTCGCCGATGCATCGCCGAAGTCGACGATGTATCGCCGGTGCGTCACCGATGCATCGCAGATGCATCGCCGATGTATCGGCGATGCGGCGCGATCCTCCGACCCCATCTGCTCCCACTCCATCTAGGAGGCCTCTAGAGAAGGAGCAGGCCTTCTCAGCAGGTGGCGGGGCTTCTCAGGAGTCCTCGGGCCCTCTGAGAAGTTTTCTGCTTCTTCGGGGAAGACTTCGAAAACTGCTCAGAAGGCTGGAGGATTTCGGTGGTACACCTTAGGCGATGCTTAAGAAAACCTAAGTTTTCGGCCAGAGTCTCGATTATTCTTAACGTTTCAATGTCAATCTTAAGATTTTAACAGAAAGGTTGGGTTTTTATTCAAGTTCTGAGACTATGAATTTCTTAACCCATGATTTCTTAAGCATTTCGCAGGGTGTAGGCCCGGATTTCTGGGATCGGCGCTGGGCCGCCTCTGGCGGCGCCTCCGGCACGCCCCTGGCGCGCTCCGCGCGCCAGCATTCGGGGGCAAGGGGGCCTGGCGCCGGTCCAACAGATCCGCGCGGACCTCCGGAAGATTATATTTTTGCATGGCTCCTCTGCTGCAGGGGGGCGCTGGCGGCCTCCCACCTCCCCAGAGCTCCGATCCGAGGACCTGTTCTTGTTCAGATCCGGCGCTTCGATCTGCCATACCTCAGGAGGGAAAGAAACACACAGACACAATTAATCGTCGACTCCCAGGAAAACATGCAAAAATATGGGAAGTGGTGGGGAAGACAAAAACCCAGAAAATATGGGAAAATATAGGGGATATGTTTATTTGTGTGTATTTATTTGTGTGTTCCAGTTCCCCTTCAATACCGCCATACCTCTGCCAGTGTTTCCCTAGCTGCGGTTCGCTAGAGGGCTCCCGTGAAGGCAGACAGGATCAACCATAGCAGAGTCCCAAAGGGGGGACGAGGAGCCCGAGAGTGCCCAGTGCGGCATGGGTCCACTGGCGGTTTCGCTGGAGACCTCCCCACACTCCTTCGGGAATCATGCCGGCTACATTCTTGATCCAGACGGCCACGACCCCTGGCAGAACACACGATAAGGTGCACATGGCCTTGCTCTCACCCGCGTCCCGGTCTCTGCTGCCATGAGGGTGCTCTGCCGGGGACTAGTCGTGCAGCCCCGGAGCTCGGATTTCTCGTCGGGATGTATACTTGTTTGACATGCCCGGTGTGGAAAAGTTGGGCGTACCGAGCCCCGATCCCCACCCTGGTTAGATCGCAAATCACGGAAGCACCCGCTCGTCCGGGAGTGAGCGTGCATCGGCGCATAGCGCCCAACAGCACCGAATAGCGTGAAGTCGGGCATGTCCCTCTACAGGAGGAATGTTCAAACATAGTATAATAAACAAGAAAGTCTGGGAACGATTTTTTGACTATTGTTAGCAATGTTAGGGCATTTTGTGGGTATTTGTTTTTTTCGTCCCAAATCCGCCTGTACGGGGACATGCCCGACCGAAGGATAGCGCTCGACACTGCCGAACAGCGCGCTCACAGCAGCAGCAGCAGCAGCAGCAGCAAGGGGCCCTGCTGGGTGCCAGGCCCTCGGGGGGTATGCGCGGCGGCTGCCCCGAGAGCCCCCCGCGCGCCGCCCCGTGCCAGGGCGCGCTTCGCCGCTGCTTCCCGTCTCCGCCCCCTGCCTGCTGCGTGGTGTGTGTTTGCGTTTGTCGCCGAAGGGCTTACAGGAGGCGACCCGTCCTCCTCCTCCTCCTCCTCCGTCTCCTCCTCCTCCTCCTCCTCCTCCTCCTCCTCCTCCTCCGTCTCCTTCTTCTCCTCCTTCTCCTCCTCCTCCCCCCCGACGGGGGTCAACCTCGCCTGGTCGTCGCGCCGCGACGGGGGTCGGAGCGCCTTCGGCGCGCGGTGGCCGCCCGCGACGGGGGGTCGATGTGGGGCTGTCGGCGGGGGGTGACGCCCCCCCGATGCTTATCAAGAAACTCGGAGTAAACTGGCGCGGCCGCCCTCGTCTTGTTTCCTTTTCTTGCGCGCTGGGCAATTCGTCTTTCGGCTGCCCCGGATAGCCCCACGCTGGAGCGGGCTGCCTCTGCCTCGCCGCCGACGAAGCGAGCGTTTTTGTCTGTAAGCTTGGCTGCATCGATGCGCCCGTGCTGAAACGCAACACGTGCCGTGCTCGAAGCGTCCGTGCCAATACGTTGCGTGTTGGCTCAGCATATTGGCCCACGTCTTGGCGAAAACATCCCGCTTCATCCACGTTTTCAGTCTACGCGTTGAACTCCCCATCCATACGCTACGGGTTGCGTGTTGCGTATCGGGGCAGCGATGTTTGTAAGCGATTCCTGAGGGCTCCGCCGCGGCCCTGCGCTCAGTGTTTCTGCCGAGTCCGCTTTCCTTGCCGCGCGCGATGCCGCTTCCGCAACAAACAGTGAATGTTTATGTGTGTGTGTGCCTGTGTGCCGCGTGCTCCGCTTCCGCTTCCGCTTGCTTGTGCGCGCGTGCCTGTGTGCTCCTGTAGACCCTCGTTTTCCCTCCGCTTCTCCGTCCGTGCCATCCATCCAGGCTGACCGTTCGCACGGATCGAATCTGACCGCCCGGCCGAAGCGCCCTCGCCGAGAGCAGGCCCGCCGGTGGCCGCGCCGCGCCCACGACCGCACGGCCACGCAGCCCGATGTGGTCCAGGACAGGACGCTGTGGCCTCCAGCTGGTGTCTTCCCTTCTTTCAGCGGCGAGTCTGGGGGGGAATGAAGAAGGGGCGAGCCTTCTCAGAAGGCTCGGAAGCCCCCCAGTCTTCTGAGAAGTGTCCCGAGCCTTCCCCCGCAGGTGCAAACCAAACACGTCTCAGGAGGCGCGAGGGTTTCTGAGGAGTCCGGCCGCTTTCTGAGAGGGATGGCCTTCTCCTTCTCGCTTCCCCCCCTCGCTCGCCGCCGATTCTTTCTTCCCCGCTCCCTGTTACGAGGCGGGGGCATGCGTACAGTCGGGGCGCCGAAGAAGAAACCCTCTTCGTTGGAGAGGTTCTCGGTGTTCCTTGACTGTTTTACAATTTGCCCTAGGTTTTCCTGAGGTCTTCCACTGGACATCGAAGTTTACAGGAAAAAAGGGCCTCGTTCCTGATTATCCTCCTCCTCCTCCCCGTCCTCCTCCTCCTCCTCCTCCTCCTCCTCCTCCTCCTCCCCGTCCTCCTCCTCCTCCTCCTCCTCCTCCTCCTCCTCCTCCTCCTCCTCCTCCTCCTCCTCCTCCTCCTCCTCCCCGTCCTCCTCCTCCTCCTCCTCCTCCTCCTCCTCCCCGTCCTCCTCCTCCTCCTCCTCGTTCTCCTCCTCCGTCTCGTTCTCCTCCTCCCCCTCCCCCTCCTCCCCCTCCTCCTCCCCCTCCTTCTCTTCCTCCCGTTCCTTGGGTCAACGCCCCGACGGTGTCCGCCGCCCGGGGCCGGAGAGCGCCAAAGGGGGGGGTCTCCGCCTGGGGGGCCCGGGGGGGAGGAGGAGGAGGAGGAGGAGGAGGAGGAGGAGGAGGAGGAGGAGGAGGAGGAGGAGGAGGAGGAGGAGGAGGAGGAGGAGCGGAGGAGGAGGAGGCGGAGGAGGAGGAGGAGGAGGAGGAGGAGGAGGAGGAAGAGGGGGGTCCGAAATATTAGGTCGCATTTGGAGGGGGGTCCGGCCCTTTAGGGGGGCTCGATTCATGCGGGATTTGGAGTAGATGTCTGGGGTCGTTTTGGTGGGCTCTGGAGTGCTTTCTTCCTCCTTAAGGAAATCGGGCTTCCTCGAGGTGGCGAGCCCCTTTGACATTGCCGAGTGGGCAGCCGACGCCCTGGGACCCCAGCGGTCGGTGGATATCATTATGTGAAGGCCTTATGGGCGATGCCGCCGACCCAGAAGAACGACGACGACCACGACGACGACGACGACGACGACGACGAGACCCTTGGCATTGCCGAGTGAGGCACTGACGTCCTGGGACCCTAGCGGGCGGTAGATATCGTATGTGGGCCCCGGGAGGGATGGCAACTACATCCGCACCGGCCGCCCGCCGAGGTCCCAGAGATCAATCCTCCCAGGCCGTGGCTATGGATCAATTCCCGCCTCGCCCCTTGCCCGCGCGCTCTTCGCCACCCGTTCTCGCCACTAGGCTTATGATGGTCCTACCTACTACCTACCTTAGCCTGGACCACCAGGAAGAATCTCGAGCACCAAAAGAGAACTGAAACTCGAGGGTTTTCACGTGTCGGGCCCTGGGGGACACTCGTCCGACACTGTTTCGACACTTTTCCGACACTTTACCGGGTGCTCGAAATTATTGAATCGCTTCGCTCATTCCGCTGGCCCGTATCGGTGCACGGCTGTCGAGTGCCCGTGTGATCGTTATCAATGGGGTGCTGCTGGATCGTTTTTTTGTTTATGGATGGCTGGCTTTGGGTGATTTCGCAGGCGGGAACCATTCTTTGCCCACCTGAACCTTCTGTTTCGGAAGGTGGCGGCTCGTGAATACGATCGCAGGGAACAAGACAACATTCTGCAGTTTCCTTTTTGCATTCTTCGGGCCCCTTGTCGCTTGTTGGGGCCTCTTAGGAGCCTCTTGGGGCGTCCAGGAGGCCTCTTGGAGCGGAAGGCTCGGATTTTCGGTTCGTGGTCTCCATTTTGGGCCTCTCTTGGGGCCCTCTTGGGGTCCTTTTGGACCGTCTTGGGCGCCTCTTGGGCTGTCGCGGGGCTCTCTTGGACGGTCGTGGGCCTCTCTTGGAGGCCTCTTGGGCCGTCTTGGGGTGGTCTTGGAAGCTTCTTGGGCCGTCTTGGAGCGTCGGAAAGGCGAAAAGGCGAGGAAGCCAAAAACCTCGAGAAACCCAATGGAAATCAATGGTCTTGGCGCTCTGAGGCTTCGTGGACGTTCATTGGGATCTCGTTGGATGCCTCTCGAGGGCTTCTTCGAGACTCTCGGGAGTCGTTGTCGAGACTCTTGGGGTGTCTTTCGGGCCCCTTGTCGCCTTTTGGGGCCGTTTGGGTGCCTCTTGGAGCCTCCAGGAGGCCTCTTGGAGCGGAAGGCTCGGATTCTCGGTTCGTGGTCTCCATGTTGGGCCCCTCTTGGGGCCCTCTTGGGGTCCTTTTGGACCGTCTTGGGCGCCTCTTGGGCTGTGGTGGGGCCCTCTTGGGCGGTCTTGGGGCTCTCTTGGAGGCCTCTTGGGCCGTCTTGGGGTGGTCTTGGAGGCTTCTTGGGCCGTCTTGGAGCGTCGGAAAGGCGAAAAGGCGAGGAAGCCAAAAACCTTGAAAAACCCAACGGAAATCAATGATTTCGGTCTCTTGGGGCTCTCTCTTGGGACGTCTTGGAAGCTTCTTGGGCCGTCTTGAGGCCGTGTTGGGCGTCTTGGGCCGATCGTTCGGTGATTCGGAACCCTCTTGGACCGTCTTGGAAGCCTGTTGGGGCCCTCTTGGCGCGCTCCGGGGAGCGTGGAAGGCCGCAACCAGGAGGAAAACCATCTCTGACCTGAGTTTGCTGGGAGTGTCCCGGGACCTTGCCGGGGTACTGTCCTGCCGGGGACCCCCAGGGGCCGCAGCGCGCGCGCGAAGTATAGAGTTATCATCAACCAGTTACCGGAGATCTTAGCACGCCTCTGGCCCGTTGGGCCGGCGGATTTCTGGGATGTGGTGTTTCAGTACGATGGGATCAACATAATTCAGGAGGGGAAGAAACACACAGACACAATTAATCGTCGACCCCCCAGAAAATATATGAAAATATGGGAAGTGGGGGGGAAGACAACAGTCCAGAAAATATGGGAAAATATGGGGAATCCTTTTATTTGTGTGTATTTATTTGTGTGTCCTGGGGCCCCTTCAATAACACCAGGCCCCCCTCTGGGCCTGTAAGACTTGCGCGCGGCGTGCACTCGCGGACCCCCCCCCATGCGGCTGCGCGTATATCGGCGAGCAGTTTTGGCACCAACGACACGCCGCCGTGGGGAACCCGTCAGCGTGTCACCGTTGAACAAAACACCCGGCAGTCGGGCAACAACGACAGAGTAACGCTGACGGGCGACCAACGGCAACGCATCATTGACGAAATTCTTTGCGCTTCGCGTATCCCCACCAGCCCATCTCACAGCAGCAACTCTTGCGAAGCATGCCGACAGTCGTGTTTTTCAGGCGTGTGTCCGCTTGGCCCCGCATATCTCCCCTGTTCCTCCTTCCTCCCGCCTCCTTGTACATCCTCCTTGTGGGGGGAGCGGGAGAAGGACGAGGCGGAGGAGGAGGGAGAGAAAGCGCGCCTCGTGATTTGAGCTGACGGGCGACCAACGGCAGCGCACCATTGACGAAATTTACCCCTCAAGAGCACAGGAGCGACCCTCCGCAGGAGCGGCCGCTGCCTCCTCTGCTGCGGGCCCGGGGTCCCGCCAGTGCTTTGGCCTGCGCTCCTACACCTTAGGCGATGCTTAAGAAAACCTAAGTTTTCGGCCAGAGGCTCGATTATTCTTAATGTTTCAATGTAAATCCTAAGATTGTAATAGAAATGTTGGGTTTTAGTTCAAGTTCTGAGACGATGAATTTCTTAACCCATGATTTCTTGAGCATTTCGCAGGGTGTACACGATCGACAATGTGTTCTTGGCGTGTCGCGTCGCCGGCTGTGGCCCACCTTGCTGCGGCGCGACACCCTGGCCTCAAGTCGGGCCTGTCCCTCTACAGGAGGAAGATTCAAACATAGTCCAGAAATAGTCTGGGGCCATTTTTTTTTTGTATTTTTTTGAGCATTTTTTAGATATAACTCGAAGGTGCTTTATGCTTCGTCCAAAATCCACACGTCGGAGGACATGCCCGACCGGACCCTGGCCACGTCCCCATGTCCCGGTCCCTGAGCATCCACGTCCCGAGCTCTTTCCCAGACCCCCGCCACACGGAGCGGAGCGACACGCAGTCTTTTCTGCAGGGGCTCCCACGAGGGCGCGAAGTTATTCGCGCTTCGCGCTTCGCGATCCTCGTTCCTTCTCCCCCTCCTCCCTCCTCCTCCTCGTCCTCCTTTTCTCCCTTTGGGGGGGCGGCGCGAGAGCGCGAAGTTATTCGCGCTTCGCGCTTCGCGGAGCGCGAAGCGCGAAGTTGGGAGCCCTAGTCTTTGCAGGGCACAGAGTTTCGCCGGGGCCACGGCCGCGACGCGCCAAGGCAAGAGCTCCCGAGCGCAGACTGGCCCCTTCCCGAAGCCGCGCACCGAACTCGACCAGGCTCGTGTTTTGTATGCGCATCCGGCCCGCTGTGCGCGAACAGTATGCACGCCGTGCCCCTGGGCGCCTCGGGCAGGGCTGCTGCTGGTGGCCGGTGTGCACAGGTGATCCTTGGCCGTATTGCACCTCGCGGCCCGGGGTGCTGGCAGGCGCGCAGCTGTGGCCACGTGTGCTTCGCCCCTGGGCTGCTCAGCACGGTGAGATGTTGCTTGCCCACCGCGCCTCGGCGCGACACGCTGGCCACTTCCCCAATCTCAGTCGTCAACGTCCTGAGCCTTTCCGAGCCTCGCGCCCCGCGGAGCGGAGCGACGCGTGATCCGCTTACACGGCACAGGGTGTCGCCGGGGCCGCCGCCGCGACACACTAGTTAAGCAAACCTTACCCGGGAGGCAGACAGGCAGAGACCCGTGCCCACAATGCTAACGTGATTTCTTTCATCCACTCATTTTGGCTTGTGCCTCCCTCCCTCTTCATTCTGCAGTGCTCACTCCGTTTCCCAGGCGATCAACGAGACGCTCCTGCCACAGCGATTCGCCGATCTCGAGAGGGCCCTCGCGCGGTCCGGCGGCCCCTACTTCTGTGGCGAGCGGATGACGATCTGCGACCTGAGCTTCTACGTTCTAGCCGGTGGCATCCTCGACGGGAGCTACGCGGAGGGCGTGTCGCCGGCGGTGTTGGACGGGTGCCCCGGGCTGCTGGGGCTGCTGGAGACCGTCGGCGCCCACCCGCAGGTGCTGGAGTGGAGCCGAGCGGCGGCTCGCCCCTGAGGCGGCCAGGCGGCGGCGGGGGTGGCGCTGATCGGGAGCTGCTGCCCGCCCGCCTAAAAGTTGGGAGCGGAAAAATGGACGTCCACGTACAGAATCCACGCTGGTTTCGAGACTACGCATTGTGCGAACGTCCGCACCACGCGGCCGGTCTCGCGGATGGGGGGGCCGTGTTCATGTACATCGTTGGGCGCGTGTGCCCTTTTGTGGGTTCCTTCCAGGATGGGGAAGCTCAGAGGAGGAAAAAGTACCCACACCCCTACCTTTCATTTGTTTCGTTTTTTGGGGGCCCTCTGGGAGGCCCTCGTCGCCACCGCGGTGTTCGCCTCGACATTCTGGTCAGAACGCACCCAGGGAGAGGTCCGAGCAGTAGCGACATCGGTACTGCTTGGCGTCCCCAGGAGCTACACATTCACGGGGCACGAGATGGGGACCGATCTCGGTGCAAGTTTGGCGCGCGCCACAGGCGCGCACGAGCCGTGCACACAAGACGAGCTTTCAGGAGGGGATCGAACACACAGACACAATGAATCGTCGATGCCCATGGAGATATGGAAAAATATGGGAAGTGGGGGGGGAAGACGAAAACTCAGAAAATATTGAAAAATAGAGGGGGAATCCTGGGATTCGTGTGTATATTTATTTGTGTGTCCCAAGGCCCCTTCATTCTTGGCCTTTGGCCCGAAGTGTACGCGCGTGTGCGAGTATACAATGTGGCGCTCATGGGCCGCCTTAGCCGTTGCCGAGCTCCTGGTGAGATGTCACTGCCAAGGGAATCGTCGCTCTCCACCACGTGCTTCCTATGTGATGTTCCCCCGCCGGCGGCGAAGGCGCCAGACGTAGAGCAAGCTATCCTCACAGTCCTGTGGCGACAGAGCGGTTGAGCACATCGGGAGGGCACATATTTTCAAAGAGGCCAGGCGCTCCCGAGTGAGCTAGGCCTCTTTGCGGCGTTCCTGTGTGACTTCTGCTGGTTGCGAATGCTGGAGGGCAAATTATGTGGGTCGCTTTGAGCGCTACGTTGCACGACGCTTTGCCCTGGAGGTTCGGTAGGCGGTTCCAGGGGCGATTTGCTCATTCCTTATCCCCCTTACTCCCCTTCAATGTTTGCTTTCCCAGCGATCGATCATATCGCGTATCCCCTGGTTTGCCCTAGCATCCATCGCTCATCGTAAGTTCTGATCCCCAAGTTTTCTTTACCTCAAGGCCCTGCGAGGATTTTTGTTCACCACGTGTTCCCCCCCCTTGAGCGACGAGAGCTCCATGGGCCTGCAGCTCAGCTGAGAGAGAGAGAGAGAGAGAGAGAGTCCCTGTTTGCGAAACCATCACTGTCTCTGAGTAACGATTCGCTGGCAAGCTCGAGCCCTCCTGAGAGGGCGATGTCACGACCTGGACTCTGAGCACACCTTGGGTCCAGGCCGCATCGAAAATGCCTGAGAAGCAAACAGCGGCGGAGGAGACCGACGAGTGAGTACGCAAGCACACATTGGCCGAGGAGGATGAGAACGATGAGGATGAACTATTCTCTCAGGGTGGGAAAGAGAGAGAGAGAGAGAGAGAGAGAGAGAGAGAGAGAAAAAAAAAAAAGAGAGAGGCCCAAACGCGCGGCCGTAGGGCGGAGCCGCACGTCCTTCATCTCGGAGCACAGGTCGATGGTTCGACCCCCATCGGGTCGGCACGCACTCTCGAGGGGGGAGGAAGGGGGGAGATAAAGCATGATTACCTGGAAGAGGGGGTGGGGGAAGAGAGAGAGTTAGAGAGAGAGGGGGCCCCAAAGGCTCCCCGCGACACTGCTAGGCGGTGTTGCTCCCACGGGAACGAGGGCGGCCACATCAGGGGGGCAGTGGGAAGGCTGTTGGCTCTGCTGGGAGAGGAGAAAGCAGGTGACAACAACCTAGGCACGGGAGCACAGGGAAGGGGCACAGGATGTGGAGAGCACGTCTGGTCAGCTTCTCAGCACAGTCTGCCCACACCCTGACCGCACGAAGGTCGCATCTGTTGTGAGGGGAGGGGGGGGGAAGGTTGAGGGTCAGAGGTTCAAGGTGGAGTGGGATGGAGGGGGAAACCGAAAACTCAGCCGTGGACCTCATGATAAATCTGAAGGCCATCAGACGCTTCACACATTGGAATCCTCCTTCATCCATTCCTGGAAACTCTGCCACTCGGGAGACAAACGGGAGCAGGCAGGCCAGTGAGACGACCAGCGACGACGGGGATGGTAGCACCTACCATTTCTGTGATCATCGTCTTCACCACGGCCTGTTCCTCCCCTTTCGCAAAGGCGCGGGCTCAAGCCAGGCGCCCAGCGCGCGGCCCGCGGCCCAGCGGCGGCGGGCGCGCGCGTCGGCACCACGCCAGCGAGGGAGCGATCACCCTCGCCCGCGTGGCACAGGAGGCAGCGGCGGCGGCGAGCATCAGCCCGCCATCTCCTTGCGCTTGAACAAGCGCGAGAAGTCCTGGAGGGCCACCACGGGAGCATGGCGAAGAAGTCGTGGGGCTGGGACCGCCAGAACGCCTGGGACAACAGCCAGAAGCAATGGAACGACAGCAACGACTACACTAGCTGTGCTACGTGGGGGTGCAAGGGCTGGGTGCACGACGCCATCTGGAGGCCAGGCCTCCAATGCAGACAGTGCAAGGCCACCTTCCGCAAGCCGCAGAGCATCAAGAAGGCAGAGTACGCATCGAGTGCTTCCCAGGACGGCAAGGGCCAGGCGAAAGCTCACCAGCGAGGCGGACAGGACGCCGAGAAGAAGGAGCTCTCAAAGGCCCTGGTCCTGATCGCGGAGAAGATCGGCACCATGAAGCTCGATGGCGGAGGACAGCTCGAGACGCAGATGAAGGGACTGGCCCAGCAGATAGCGACCGAGCCGCCACCCAAGCAGAAGTCCAGGCCCGAGAGGCTGGCGGAGGCGGCGGAGCTGCTACGGATCGCCAACAAGCGCTTCACCGCGGTGGCGGCCGAGGTCAAGAAGCAAAGGGCATGGCTTCGCGAGCTCGAGGACAAGATGAGCGACATGGCCGCCAGCGTCGTCGAGAAGGAAGCCACTCTGGAGGCCGTCCACGCGGAGGGCAAAGAGGCCAAGCCGCAGAGCTTCATGCAGCAGCTGATCAGCCAGACCCCAGAGGAGATGACGCTAGAGGGCCTCATTGACCTGGAGAAGGAGATGGAGCTGGAGGACGCAGAGGTGGACGAGGCGGCACGCCAGGAGGTCGCCGAGGCCAAGAAAAAGGTGCTCGCCGACTTGAAGGAGGGCGCCAAGTCATACGCACACCAGCTGCAGGAGCACATCAGGAAGGCCAAGGAGGCGGCAGCGCGCAACAAGGAGACCATCGAGCAAGACGCGAAGAAGAGGAAGGTCGAAGCGCGGCGGCAGGACGAGGCGGCTTCAATGGGGGCAGCAACGAGTTCGCCAGCCACGGCGCCAACAGCACCCAATGAGGCAGCAGAGATGGCGGTAGAAGAAGACGAAGATGCTGACCTGGAGGAAGAGGTGCTCGCCAAGGCCAGGACCAAGCGCGCTGAAGCCAGCGGGCCTGCCGCTCGGTCAGAGTGACTAGCGCGACCTGGCGCCCGCCCAACCAAGACCGACAAGGGCGTCAGGCAAATCTTCGTCGGCAACATCACGACGTGGGGCCCTACTGTGGAGTCGTGGCTTCGGGACCAGCACCTGAGGATCGACGGCAACAAGCACAGTGGGCAGGGGTTCGACACGTACCTGATCCAGGAGACTCATCTCCGCCACCACCAGTTGGAGGAGAAGGAGGCACTCCTGAACAAGTGGGGTCTGAAGGCGTGCTTTGCGGCATCCCAACCCTCCACCAAGTCCGAGGGGGGCTCGAGAGGAGGCGTTATGATCGCCACGAGGTCGCATTTCAAGAGCTCGTTCTTTCGGGAGTTTGCGGCGTACAGCAGTGTTTCGGGGGCTACTGCTGGAAACCGTGGAATACAAGAACAAGCTGCAGGAGAAGATCTGGGTCTACTTCAGATGGAGGACTGGACCGCGATGACGCGGCACCTCAAGGGCTACAGCCTCGTGGTCATGTCCCTGTATCTGAGGTGCGACCACCCGCTGCAGGAGGGCGCCAATGCGAGGCGATTGGCGGAAGTGGCGAGGTTCACCAAGGCGCTGCGCACGCCATGGATTATCGCAGGGGACTTCAACGTCAGCCCGACCAGGTTCGCGGCGGAGGGCTTCTGCGACTACCTGGGCGACGCGCGCATCTACACCATGCCAGGCAACGCGCCGACCTGCTACAAGGCCGACGCGGAGCCATCTCTCATCGACTTTGTGCTAGCGAGCCCCGAGGCGTGCAAGCACATCATCCAGCTCGAGGCGGTGGCAGAGGTCAGCTGGAAGCCGCATGTCGGCCAAAAGCTAACCCTCAAGGCACAACTCGAGTTCAACATCACCAGGGTGCTGAAGATGCCGCAGGCGTTCTGCCACCCGAAGCGAGACATGCGGAAGAAGCCCAACCCAGAGAGCAAGGCACAGAGGAGGAAACGACAACTTCAACAGGAGCGAGCAGACCGACCAGCACAAGAGCAACAACGAGGACACGAACGACCTCCAGTTGAAGTCTCATGCACGAGATGGGGAGCGATCATGCCTATCGGATGGACGTCATTCCCGTTTCAACCAGATGGAGATCTCCCTGACGCTCTTCTCGAGGAATGGGGCGCAACACGTACGGAGAAGCCCGTGACAGGGGCTAATGAGACCTGTGACATAGGTCTCCAGACAGAGAAGCGCAATAAGGCCTGTAACAAGGGCCAGGACACAGAGGAGCTACCAGGGCCAGAAGCCCCAGAGCGGAGGCCTGTGACAGAGGCCAGCAGATGCGGAAGCGAAACACGAGCCAGAACAGACATGGACAACCCCGAGGCGGACCTCATCGAGGAAGACCCCGAGGAGTGGTACATCACACAAGAGGAACTCCTACCACCAGAACTCGAAGGGCTCTTATCAGGGGACCAAGCGGTAGGCAGCCCACCGAGGCTCCACACCGCAAGGGCCCCTCCAGCAGCCTCAGGAACGGGTGAAGGCTCTGATCCTGGG